TCACACCTCATAGAAATGCATGGTTTGAAATGCATATTAGTAGCATGGTCCCCATTTGGTCGAAGAAAACAAAAAAATACCAATGTATTCCTTCTTTTCCACTATAGGCCTCGCGTTCGGTTAATGAGAACTTAGTATTTTGTTCAGAACACGACTGTTATGATGGTACATTGAAAGTATATCACCTGAGCTAAAGGCCATATTCGTGTTTAATATGGATTGAAATCATATGAAATAATATGGATTTAAGATATGTTTTTACCCAACTTAAACTACATGTACAAGATTGATAATCCTGTCAACCCGATCTATTCTTGAGGTATGCGAAAAAAACTCTATAAACAATATCTGACTTATACTCTGTTGTCTCGTACATTTCCAAACATATCATGGTGTCATAGAAGTAACGAAAAATACCTTTTCTGAAGTATTTTCCCGCCATGATATAAAATACCACACCCATAGGCTTATAAGTAATGGTTCAGGAAGCCGTCACTGAACGATAACCGTTCAACATGAACCAGGTTTGGATAGAATCAAACGAAAGGCACACTGCAGCTTGCAAGCGTACTTTCTCCTTCGCAGAGGTTAGCGTGAAGTTTCGGGGACTGACTAACCAATAGCCCATCCCTTCCAAAATTTATGAGTCCAATTCACTGAATATTATACACTATACACTGTAAATTTCAAGCAAGCAGTTGAATCAACTCCAAAAGTGTTATTCTGTCACCAAAAACGGAGAAAGTTTAAATACAATCATGACATCAGCCCTTACCTTGCCTCTTTCCTCAACCACCTCAAAGTGATCTGCTTGTAATGTCGGAACAACCAGTTCACCAAGACAAGTCGTAACCAAGTGACCCACATAGTTATCTACGACATCATCACCAGCATCAGGCTGCAGAGAAACAGTTGGCGTTGCTTCGTTGTTATCGTCAAGCCAGAATGGATTTCGACCACTTACATCATTGACGTATCTCACCAAATGATCATACATATTCATCATCTCATCATCATTTCCGTTCGCTAGAAGATTTCGCATAAACAAGACATAGTTGCCCATTCTCTTCAAATCTGACTCCAACTGCCCTTCGTCTCTCTCATTTTGCTCGACTTTATCCAACATAAGTTCTTCAAGTTGTGAAATCATTTCAGACGAACGACCTTTATAAAAGTGAAACACAGAAATGTCGTTAATTCGAGTAGTATTCATGCACGCTGGGTTAAAAATTATTTAACCACCATGGGAATCTACGCGACCTTTGGTTTAGCGTATATATAGGCGAGCCATTGGGAGCAGAGTAATTCACAAGAGTTGTAATATCACAACCCACTATCATTTCACTGTTAACGTTAGAACTGGGTACAAAGACGATCTAAATTCTCAAAAATTCAATTAGTGTAAAATTTTAAAGTTCTCATTTCTATACAGTTTGCTATTCTTTAACTTTTTTTGACACCTTAATCTTTAATTCATACAAACGGCTCTTCAGTAACTATTTATTAAGTATTATGAACAATTCTCTTCTTTTCAAACTCTGTTTGATATCTACATCATTCTGCTATGCACATGCATATAATTAATACACATATATTCTCGTGACTTAGGCTATTATGAAGATAATTTCTATAAGTTTCTTTGTCTCTTTCAGGTATTTTCGTCAATACATATTGCCAAATCATTACCTCCCC